GCTGGCCTTTAGTCACCAGCCCTCAGGTCTGCCGTATTTCTGCAGACTCAGCACATTTTATATTAACTTTGTGTAGGAAATAACACACGGACAGGCGAAAAGCAACTAAGTTATATACTTTGTAACAAGCAACTTTTAACTGCGATTGCTGCCTCTCACCCACACGTGGAACCATAATAGAACAATGGAGGTTAGCTGTGAAGAGCAATCAATTTTTAATAGTCAACAGTGAGTGACCAGAAGTTCTCGTCTCTCTGGAGGTATGTAACTTGTCTGAAGGAGTCAGTATAAACCATTCAGGAAAAAGTAAAAAGCCTCCTTTCTTAGCAGCTGGATCCCATGGGACAGTCAGTTGTATACCTTTCTCCGGATATCTTGTGGCATTTTATTTTGACTGAGATGCGAGATATGTAAAATACGCGTCGTTCTGCAGCAAAAGCGTTGAGGTTTTTCAATCCGGCATGTGTACTGAGAACAAAACATTTCGACTGAGCCTAACCCAGCCATACCGCTCACGGCAACTAGAGCTGGGAACTGAAACAATGGGTACTATTCATGTGAGTTGGGATAATGTAAAACAGAATTGTAAAAACTTTTATGTCCCAAAGATTTCTGCCAGAACAGCGTCGAGAACTCCGAAATACCAAGTAAACCTTGATGATAATTATTCGGCTTTTCATTGATACAATGCTTCATTCCGCACGTAGTGTACACCAAGAACAACCTCTATCCGACTAGTGTCATCAAACTATTGTTTGGTAACTTAGATGTTAGCACAATCTAGAGCGTGTTCGCCTGTTTAGGCGTGATATTTCAGATGTACCCAGTGTGCGCTGGTTGATTGGTGGCAGCACGTTTGCCGCACAGCTCAGACGCACATCGTTCAACTATCCAAAAAGCCAAGGATATACGCTCCTGATGAGTTCTAATAAGATAGAAAATCGAATTTACCACCTCCCAGTTTGGTATACTTTCATGAAACACTAAGAGCACCGTAAATGATCTGAATGTGGGAATCATACGTGTTCGAGTGCCGGACAAGTGCGGAGGGTGACGTTTTGTCTCTTCTGGACAGCATATGCTTCAGATTGTGACTTCCGACACTTAGTGATAGATGAACCTTCCAAGATTTGCTATTCCCAAGCTCAGTGGACAGAATGACATCCAAATCTACAAGGCCCAAGACCTTTCTGTAGACACCTCAAAATATTAGGTAGATAGTGTTTAGAGAGGATGAGCAGTAGCTATATTCCAAAGAATGCGAAGTTTTTTTGGAAGAAAATTCGGCGTTAAAACTTACCACGGCCATTGGCAAGCCTGTTTCAAAATCAGCCTGATGAATACAAGCCAGTAGCTTCATGGCTTGAAGAAGACATAATACCCATTTTGCTGATGCGCTTCATTTTTTTTGCAGTCAAGACATAATATGGGGAGGTGGTCACTGAGTTCTTTTTGCAACGCTGGTACTCGAAAGGTTCCAAAACTCCAGAAACCGATGAAGAGTTGCACTCTAATATATGAAATTCAGATCTCAAGCCGGATACCCTTCTTCTAGACTGTCGGAGGTGCATCGCTTTCCAAGTACGCCGTAGCGTGAAAAGAATAGCACCTGTAAAAGCGTGCGTATATTCTGGAATTCAAACTTGGTACAGGAAAAGCATTGATGACGCCACCAATACTTCGTGCGTCTCTGGTCTCTGCACTTGAACTTAGAATTTGTAAAATAGGATAAGACTGGAAAAAAAGGTAGATCATGGTCACCATGGCTGTTAAATTCCAATGGTAATCTGACAACCGCCCAATACATCGGTCCTGCTGCGCTTTCTGGCCGATGGTGATCCAGAATCTAAGTTCATCCAGTGCTCCCATTCAACTCCAGTAAGAACACCTGTGCACCGGAGGAAAGAAAGCTTCACCATATAAAGTTCCCCAGAAGTAGCTTCATGGAATAAAAAAAGCCAATTTGAGTCTTTTTTAGCCCAAAATCATGCTGAAGTATTTTAAAGCATTCAAACGGTTTTAGCTGCTCTAGTTAAAGCATTTCAGTTTTTGTATCAATGTACAAAAACCCAATTTTAGCAAAATATTTGAATCTCTATTCCCCACCACAGGCTTTCTGAATCGACATGACGTCGCCCCATCTGAAACGACGCCTAAATGTAACTGAAACGCTTCCTAAACCGGTGCGCTCTTCCTCATCCAACCAACGGGCTTTTTACAACCTACCGGAGAACAAGCCAACCGCTGCCCAAATCGTTAGGGAATCCCGCGAGTGGCTGCAAGCCGTTTCAACTCGACGACCCTACACACCAAAGGATCAAACCAGATCTCTCTTTGGGTCATCTAATCACAATGTGACTTCTCGGCCAGCTAGTGCCTTCAAATTTAGCGCCAAAAACTTCGATCCTCTTGATGCAACAAAAAGTCAGCGTTCATCGTTACACCAGGCTGAGGTTTGTTTATCTTCATTGTTTGTTCCTAAGTCCTCAATAATCGAAACTTTCATCTATAAAACAACATTAACACTGTTCAAGAAGCCAGTCACTCAGGTCATACATTACCGGGTTTGGAGGTTGATGTGATTCTCCCTTAAAAATACTTAATAGGCAAGTTGGTCGCCCCCCAAATTTTACTTTTTTAATCTCATCTCCCCTGAGGCATATTTTTTGTGCTAATTTTCGATCCATTTGTTTGCCATACATTGCACACAACTGAAGTACTTGTCTTTAGGCTCTTACTGACCGTTCCTGTGAGCGTTTCATAATTTCTATTTGATCAACAACTGTGTACACGGAATGTATTCGTATTTTTACTAGAGGCAGAAACGAACTACGTTGACTTCTGACAACAGTCCTTCTGCAATTCTGCGGATAAATGTGGAAGTGTTAGGCGGTGAATAATTTCAAAAATCGTCCTATTTATGGCTATACAGAAGCATGGGTTGGAAAATTTGTTCAGATTGTTTATGAATTTTATGTGACTCAATCCGCGAAGATGATACTGATAGTAAATGGTACGGTAACTCCAAAACTGAGAATTGCAGTGCAATATACATTGCTGTGTTCCTTGACAATTTTTATTATTGCGCTCCAAATTGAGCGACAACGAATGCATGTATCCAAGAGCGGCGTTTCAATGAGACGTTGTATGTCATTTTTGTATGTTTGCCCAGGCTTCGGATCAAACACCTGTTTCCCCTTCTCTAATGAATGTGAATATGTGGTCATTAATGGCCAGTTAACTCCAAAATCGTATTTTGTTTTGGACTGACCGCCACCAAATCATTTTCCCTTTGGCCAGTTACTCCAAAATCGTATTTTGTTTCGGACTGACCGCCACCAAATCATTTTCCCTTTCGTTGTTTCATATATTCTCATAATGTTTTTTTCTGGGATAGGCGAAGTGGACTTTGAGCTGAGTGTTTTAACCCTGATACTGCTTTCGTGTTCGGTTCGTTATCCTCAGATACTTCGTGGTTTAAGATGGATTTTCGCGGATTTTACTGGATGCCATCCAATCTCTGAGGGCTAAGTTGTCGTGGTCAATTAAAACGTCTAAGTTGTGCTACAAGTTTTGGCCATTTTGCGCCTAAAGCCGGCTCTGAATTTTTCCAAAGTTCAGCAACAAATCTACGTTAAGATAGTGAGTAATGTGAAAGCATCAGCAACTGTGTCAATGTGGCATTTAGGTTGTTGGATCTCTGACTATCGGCCAAAATATTGCGAATACATTGATTTCAGACTGGAAGATTAACTGATCCAACGACCTCTGGCTTCCAAGAGGAGATGACATCTAAGTCCTTTAAGATCAGGGACCGCATTTTTTTTATTTAAGGCGAGGTCATGTGTGTCCTAACTTGTCTGAATTGCTGTAAATGAATTCTGACTCTTTAGTTCATTTATTTTGTCGCACACAATCAAGGTGGTAACTAAAGTCTATACAAGTGGGAGCCTGAACGCGCACCCAGACATTGTCCTCTATATCAAACATTGATCGCAAAACTACGGCGCACCAAAGTCTGGAGTGTTTGGAGCTTTATTTCGTCTATCTTTGATAAGACGAAGTCCCCATTTTTTTCATTACCGTCAACAATGTAACTATTAGATATGCCGATAAGATGCAGAAGGCTACCAAGTCTTGATTTGATTGCACCAATGTCACTAACTGACCTGCCTGGAATGAGTAAATACTAATGCCAGGCCCAATTCAGTGGACTCATCATCGGTCTATTTTGGGTACGAAAGAACATCAGAGTTGGTCTTTTCCTATCCCCATTTGTTCTATGGTTTTACCCTCACAACGAAGGGGCTTCTTCCACATTATCCAGCCTAATTTCGTATCAATGAATCTTTGATGATTCTAACCCAGGCAATTCTCACTGACACACTGACACAAGCTGAGCAAACAATCACGCCTAAACTGGATGGTCATAGTCAAAACTTTTGAACGAAAGCTAAACAAACGCAAACCATAGGGCAAACTCTCATGGAAGGTCATTCATCTCCGCTGGGCTTATGGCTGACTTTAAGCTGCGCATCATTCGTTTTTTAGTTCAACATTATTGTTGGTTCGTCCTGAAATTGGATCCCTCGGTTAGAGGAAATAGAAACGCTTAAACGTGCTGATGATTTGGGATAATACTTTTAGTTGGAAATAAGATTTGAGGACTCTTTATCGATAAAACTACGTACTTCACGTACCATCTACTAGGATCAGTCCTGCTTGTAATATAATTGCTTGAAGTGTCATTAGAATGAATTTTTCCGGTAAATAGATGCGTAGAATTGCAATGCATGTAGATACAGTTTAGTGTTTCTTAGTACCAAAATGTGTCTTAAAAGACAACGACAAAAATTACATCCACCATCCGGAGTGTTGTGGCCATCGTGAGCTTTAAAAGTGGAGTTATTCAAAGGACGGTCTCTTATGATTAACTGTCAAATTCAGTTCCCATTATTGATATCGTTGCGTAAAATTCTGTTTACATGCCTTGCACCTAGCAAGGGAAACGGTCTCAAAGACTAAACGAAATAGATGGGAATCATCCATCTTCTGCTACGGATGGAAAATCAAAGCCAAAAAGACGTGAGGCCACGCTGAAAAAATGTAAGTTCTTATTATTATTCAAGGACTTACACCGTTCTTACTCTCCTTTTCGTTTTATTGTTTTTAACCTGTTCAATGAAATACGTTTTTCACAGATGCAACACTGTTAGGCGTTAGAACTAACTGAAAATAGGGCGAAAAGTGCCTATCCCTACCGGGTTATTGTATGTACCTCTGATGCAAGTGTTAGACTGTAGTTAAAAACATTTATATCTGGGTGAGTTTGGGAATACTCAGCCACAGGCACTATATTCAGTGAATTAAGACTGCTCTTCTACCGGGTCGTTCATCTCAAAGATCTTCATACTAAGAGCTAAAAATCACCTATATGGCGGAGCTATTCGCCCGAAATTTCCATAAGCTGTATAACTATTTTTAGCCTGCAACTCTGTAGGATATTTTACAATGGTAACAAAGAGTCAGAACTGAGCAATGTATCGCTTTAACTCAGTGAATTCACTGTCTTCCATAGTCGTTCCTACCTCTTCAAAAGAACTTATATACTCTCTAGTTTTCCGTGTAATTCATCGCTTGTTCTACATGTTATAAGGCTTTTTGGCCCATTTTTAACCAAAGCTTGTTCTTCACAATATGTGTCCTGTGTGAAAAGTATACCTCTTAACAGCAGCCTTTAACATGTCCTGGATGAAACTATAAGTACATCTGAAATACAATACAATATAATACAATGGTTCTTAGACAACTCGTGCAGTTCTATTGAGGACATATTTCGTGCCCAATGATTTTTTTCCGCTGTCCCAGTCTTGTACTCTATACTGGGAACATCTTCTGTTGGCAGCTGTTTCCGTATGGTCCATATGTAGGAGTAGAAAGCCCTCTGCTCGTGATTTATTTTGAGAAAATAGTTACGCTTTCTTGCTTTTTACCACAGTTACATCCTTTGATGGAGCTATCCCAACCCAAAAAAGGATGATCAAGTCGGCCACAACATCCAACATTGCATCGGCAAGTTCTACTGCACGTGTGAAGCAGCCACAATGTGGGTCTCAGCAACCAACTGAACTACAGCTTGAATTAAGAGGAACACAAACAAAGCTTTTATCCCATTCACAGTGTCGCTTAATCTCCCCCACGTTCGCGCACCACATTTCAGAATCGATGCTTGGCTCAGCGGAGAACATTCAGAAGGGAAATGGTGGGGCTGTTGTGAAGGGTAATCCACGTTCTTTGTCCACGTAAGTAACTTATCTTTAACAATAATTTTACCCTACAAAGGACCTCGTCAAGTAGTGCACCAGAGCTTCACAACTGAATCATTAAGCTTCTGATTAACAGACCGACAGTTGACAGCATAACTCTTGGTTACACGCGCGACATACAGCGTCCGACATACAGTGGTCGTCACATAAGAGGCTTATTAATGGCATGTAGTGATATAGGCTATTTAGTAAGTATGGCGAACCCACTCTGTAGTATTGGTGAAGGACAGTGAGGGTCATCGGTATCTAAGCTGGCATGGTACCTTCCTGGTGAATGCGAGGTCAGTAATTCAAAACCCCTCAGAAGTGTCTTTTTGTTGGTGCTACATCTCTCTGGGCTTCTTGATCTATAAAATCTTCCTGCAACTTTTGAAATTTTATCTCACTTGAATCAGGTTGTTCAGCTGTTTAGCTAATGAATTGTCAATTTTTGACCTTCTCGCCAAGTTGGCCAGTGAACCAAGTGACAATCGATTAAAGGATAACCGGATACTTACTGCTTACGTCTAATGACGCTCCAGTGAAACCCGACAATTACCCAACCAGTCAGATTTTTGTTCTGTAAGAGGCTGAGAAGCACCGTACAGCTTTTTCACTTATATGGTGAACAATTTCACGAGTTTTCAGGGGATTCTTAAGTTTCTACCTCTCAGTTAGTAGTTGAACACCAAACCGTTTGGCCATAGGGCCGACCATCAGTCTTAGTAACTCACACTGAGACGGTACTTTCCATTGCTCATCTTCCAATAAAGGAATTCGTGTTACGTGGTCACTGATGGACCGGATCCTTGAGTGATGACTTCTCAAACGGATGGTTCATAACACTTGACTTATTCCTCTTTTTGCTTCCAAAGAACTTCGAGCTTTCACAAATGATGCATGCATAGATGGCTCATCCTGGAAACGCATTTCAACAAGTATTTCAAGTTTTGGTCTCATCAGGTTCAGCCAGCATGATTTTTCCGCCAAATTTCACACTCCTAACCACAATCCTGAAAACACCACCGATCCCACCTCAGCGTATGGCGTTTATCCAAAACACGCATCGGGACATTTCAGGAAGCCCGCTTAAATCGTCGGAATATTAGTATCGCGGGTGCGCTTATTACCTATCGGTTATCTAATGACTCAGCTCAGTCATTTGTTGGCAAGCTTTTGCCACAAGTCAAGAAGAAAACAATCAGTGCGCACAATAAAGAAACTTCCTCAGGATCTTAGCTAATTTCTCCAGTTAACCGGGGTTATCGAGACAGTTCTAGTCGAGCAATTCGGACAGCATTTTCCATTGTCTACTTTGGCAAGCGGACTAGGTGTATGTTCCACATTATTTGCCAATTGCGCAGTTATCAATTTTATGGGTTTCAAAAAGCTTGGTAATCCAGCTGTTTTTTTAATTTCAGGTCAACAAAGCGAGAAGAAAGTGCGAACTTCAGGCGAATCCCTACACCAACACATGCGCGCTCTGGATCCAGAACTGGAACTCCTCATAAGTTATTGGATCGCGCTGAATTTGGTTCTGAGACAGAATCTCACCTAGATATGCAAGTGACATACCATCAAGAGCGAAGTTCATCTCGTTGGTCACTGTCCACCTCGATAAACAATCCACAATCCAGGCCGAATAGTCCAGTGGACGCTTTTCTCCAAGATCCTCTGAGGTCATCCAACAACGTCCAGTCCGCTAAAATAATAAAACCAACACCAGATTCGGAGATTATGGTGCATCCACAAAAGGTACTGGGCTCAGCACGCGCACTGACGTCTTACAAAAAATGTCCTGACATTTTGCTGCATTTTTTTCTGCTACTTGTGGTTGTGAGGCTCTATTTCCCAGTTGGTGGGGTGTATCCATTTTTAAGAGAGCCGGAGAGGTCAAGTGGATGTAATTCCCAACAACGAGAAACGTCCCAAAAATGCCACTTGCTCAGAGTCTTACTCCTAATGAGGTTATCTTTTGTGAGTTGTGAAAAAGTCACAGGAATTTCGTCCCTGCGTCATTTTTAACCGCACTGGGTCACACCGCTTGCTCCACAAAGGCCAAAATTGTAGTGTGTCGATACTCAATGAAGTGCAAACATTAACATTTTCTGGAAAATACAAAATACCTGAGACGCCTGGACGGCGGAGATATTACCTAAATTGATGTAAAACACCGTTCTTCGCGGAACTATATGTAGATCCTACTCAAACGTCCCATTGTTCGAAATTCGTATTAAGCGCACACCGAAAGAAATGGAATAAAATGGAATGCTAACCTGTATATTGATAGCCATGACACTAACGGTCAATTTTTCGTCTCGGAAGTTGGGATGCGGTTGCTGAGGATCCGAAAAGAATATTGCATAATGACCACTGTTCTTACACTAATAAACAGGCCACCTTCATCGGTAGTTATGGTGTGCCAAAGTGCGGAAAAGGTACTTTTTCTTAGGCGCAGTAGGTAAAATACCATTGAAGCCAAAGAACTGCTTTATTATAGCAACCCATTTACAACATGACGTCATAGAATTCGGAAATTCTATTATTAAGAAAACAGCAGGCCTGGTTTTCCACTCCCTTACCCTTTAGAAGGAAATGGAGGCGAGAGCTGATGCGTGGCACAGTATGCTGGTGCGATGTGGTAACAAAACAACATGGTTGAAACTTTTTTTCTCTTCACGCAACAAAACTCACCCACATATTTAGGACGAATGGTGCTGAGGAGGTTATAGAACGTGAAAAAAGTAGTGGCGCGTGATCAGATTCCCTGTGTCAGGCGGGGGAGCAAACACTAGCTGTCATTTGAATATTTGGTTTTGCTTGAACCAGATATAACACGTTTTCTTCATTACTTGATGATAACCATCAAATTTAGGAAAAATTTACCCGAACCTTGTTAAATATTTGACCGGTAAAGCAGAGGTGCCGTCTACACCATATTTACTTAGGTCCGTATTTGAGGTTTTACAATTTCATTCCTTGTTCTACGCCGACTCCATCCACCAAATGTACTTCATAATAACTTCTTGACATCCTTTTGGACAACAGCCGTTGTCGGGCGGATGCTCGGGTCGGAAAGCAGTTACAACTGACGCTATGTTGTACAGCTCTCCAAGCGGTGATTCGGGTCTGTCATCCGGGAGCGAACTCGATCATCTTATCGCCCGACTCACGGAATTCCCCCAGCTTCTTTCTAATGCCTCCCAAAATCCAAAGGACCCACTTGAGATAAAAGGAAGGGAAATGGTCCACGACTATTCAACTGAAACGGTTTGCCAGAGAGTAACTGACGTGGAACAAAACACTCGAACGGAGGAAGAAGCTATTCAAATAGCAAATCGTCTATATACCACACTTTGTGAGAGCGGAATTCACGAGAGACCGAATTGGTCAGGGAGACCGATGATATTACACACGGTCTTCGCACTGTTGGACAAACGTTCTGCAAAGCTTCACATTGCTCTCATCAAGATTATCTTTCTGGTGAGCACACAATTGTTTGGCCTTAGTGAGTAGACGGACTGATTGCTGCTGCCAAGTATTAAAGTCTGTCCGACAAATGATACGCGCACTTGAAAAACGTCCTTACCCATCTAGTCACTCAGTATGTGATTCATAAGATTTGCTAACTCGTAACTAGATTCAGGGCACCATAAAGTTGGAAAAAACATGCCATATCATTTCTTTTTTCGCTAGCGCGATAGATATGTAAATCTCAGGGTTTTTTTGTTCAGTACTCAAGAAAACCATATTTATTTCTGCCCAAATATAGCGGCACTCTTTCAAAATTGGTTTGCTTGCTCCTAAATTGGTTCATTGCCTCTAGCAGACGTGAAAAGATAGGTAAGATTATGTGGTACAATACTCTTCTTATATCATGACCCCGGGAATCTCGGGTGAATTTGGTCATCTGAGAAGTATACGAATTAGTAAAAGTCGAATAGTCTTACATTCTGACCACCTTGCACATCCATGTGGTCGAATGAGAGGGTGATCCAATAACGGGAAGGTAGCTAGCTTTATCACGCACACTGAGTCCGGTATTGAACAACGTACATCCGGCTCATTTCCAGTATTATGTTTTGAACTAAGGGACGCCGTCCTTGAGTAATTCGCCTCTAACATAATTATTATTGATGATAACCAATCGCTTATGCATGCCAAGAAAATACTACAGATTATTAACATTTTGGTGTATGAAAACTGCACTGACCTGGCTTGTTTATTTCAACTTTAGCTTTTTGAAAAGAGTACTATAGATGTTTGCATCCACCGTAAGTTCACTCAGTCATTTTAGAATTATTATGCTTCGTCTAGGAGTGAAAAACAAGACTTTAAACATATTATGAATGCTAAAGTCAGGCTCTAAAAATGTAAGGTTGTTACACTTAAGCAATATATAGGAAGAAAGAAGCTACTGTTGTGTTCTGGTGACAATATTTGTTGTTCTGAACCGATACGAATTTCTTCTCGGTCAGCCATTTAACCTAACAAGTCCCCAAATCTTGTCACAATATTGCCACTATAGCAGCATCCGTTTTTACTGCTGACCCCTAATAAATCATTATTTCTGTTTGTTAGCTTGGCGTGGGTGGTTCCAACCTGGTCAACTTGTGTAAACTGTTGTACGGGATAGCTAAAGACTCTGCAAATGACGCACTGTTTATGGAGCATCCGAATACGCTTGGTAAGTCCGAAAGTCGTATGACGGTTTGGTCAAGTCGTTTACCTAGAGCAATAATGTACGATGCAAGCACTAAATTTGGAGCCATTCGTAGAATCTGGAGTCATACCTCTTTTCCCCTACCCACACAACCGAATCCATGGTTGCGGATCACTCATCACCAGTTAAAAAAATTAACAGTCAGAACAGATAGGTAGTGGCGAGTGTTCCAAGGATAATTTTCCCAACCTTTGGAAGACTTTTTGCGTTTAAATGGTTGTCAAGTGGCTAACTTTCAAAAAAATTTTTGGAGATGTGCGATGCAATTTTAGTTAGCTACTTGGTTAGTTAGCTACTTGGTGTGGGTAGTGCTTATGACTCACCAAAGAGTATTCAAAGCTGTACTTTTAACGGGAAGGATCAGTGAAATTTTGTTATGTGGTTCTTTCCCCAGCGTCTGTTAGCTGACATTTTTTGTTAAGTTGGAGGTTAGATCCGTAGAATTAATGTTCATGCTGGGGATTTTTGATTATCTGTAGGTGGTATTGAGATCCGTGGAACCTACTTTCACATCCTGCAAACAAACACGACTAATCAAATATTGTGTAGCAGGTCTCGAGCCATCGTGGGGCTACCTGACCGGGTAGTACCGACAGGCGAGTCATTTTATCCACAAAATCGCTACTGAGTCGTTGTTGGCGTCGTCAGACAAACCAATAACACCACTCAAGCCTGAATATATTCGTCTACTCTCATTTGATAATTCAGGTACTCCAACGTGCGTTGGTGGATTAGTTGAAGCAAGCCCGCGTCACATCAGGTGAACGGAGTTTGAACTCTAAGAATATGCACTTGTGAGTAGCTCTTAGAAGAGCGTGTCCAATGCTTTCCCGCTTTAGTACAAACTACCCAGAATACTTCCGCCAGGACTGAAGGAGGAAGTATCAAACGAGATTTATGTGAATGCGAAATTTTTGTTTTCACTTCCAAATTCTGGAAAGTTATGAAGCTTGAAACCTGCAGTCCCTGGTCTCGACGGAATTAAATGTCACCTCTCGGAAGCAAGAGGTCGTTGGATCAGTTAATCTTCCAGTCTGAAATCAATGTATTCGCAATATTTTGGCCGATAGTCAGAGATCCAACAACCTAAATACCACATTGACACAGTTGCTGATGCTTTCACATTACTCACTATCTTAACGTAGATTTGTTGCTGAACTTTGGAAAAATTCAGAGCCGGTTTGCGCTTACGATCTAATTAGCTTTCCCTCATTCACCAGTGTGTGATAATAATAACTTGTTTGATGAGGCTTTTGCGACTTAGGTGGTTAATTGTGCATCCCAGAGTTAAATTTCTCAACTGCATATCGCTCTGTTCCATCTGTCATGGTTTTGTGATGTTAGTGCCTTCACTAAGGGTTGATGATGATCACTAATTCATATTGAGAACTCAAAGAGTAATGCAGTTTATTTATCTGATTTCATTTTAGATGCTTTGATCAATACATTGCATATTGGAGAAGATTTGGACTCTGAAGTGGCAGACGATCACCCACAGACAACGCTAGATGCTCTACTCTTCTTAACTGGGACATTGAAATTTTTGTCTACCAGTCCAGTGGTATCTGACAGACTAAACTCCCATCCAGGCTTCATTCCTGGACTTCAAGACGTGCACCAGCAAGTCGAAAAGCGACTGCAAATCCTTGACCGCGAGCGTAGTTGTGACAAGAAAAGGAATGAACCATTCAGTCAGCTAGGAGAACGCTTGTATCACGTACTAGTTCAGGTAGATGACAGTTTTTCGTTTGATGGTCATATGATGCTGTCATAATTCCTACGTGGGTTCAGTAGTGCTTCTTAACATGGAATGTCCTTTACCATCGACTGTTTGATTGTCTGTCAGCAGGTAATGGAAGCCGGTGCGAGCCCCTACTTCCCCTATTCGGGTTATCTTTTTAAAAAGCTTTTACTGGTCAGAGAAAACACTGAGTGCTAGACTAGATGACACAATGACCTTCCTTAACTTGCCACTTATATACGCTCCTGTTGAATTTTTCCCAGGAACCAGAGCTTCATACACCCTTTTTAAAATTGGCCCAAACCATCCTATTTGTAGAACTCCTTATGCCAGGAAGATACTTGATATCTTCGTACCCCAAAGCTGACTGTAGACTATGATGAACAAAAGATTCATTCCAGCAATTCACTCATTCGCAAAAATTACCATGCAAATGAGGATTCATTCAGTTGTTTGCTGAATAATTCAGGTGAATGGAGCAAGACACGGAATACGTTTTTCACCGACTGGAGCAATGTACCAACGCGAACGCATACGACTAACAAGCGCCCGATAGCTGGAAACCCTTAAAGTAAAAGAAAACTGTTCTAGGCAACGGTGATGACTTCACGACTCATCAAATGAAACAGCCACAGGGGCGCACTTACCTTATGACCGCGGTCAACGTGTATTGTAGGTACCTGGTGGGAATGGCGCATCTCACCAATCAGCAACCATGCTTTAAGCTGAACAATCCCTGTGATTTTTACTTGTAAAACTGAGTTGGACTTCATTTCACATGCGATTCCGTTTGAACTCCCTAACCGATAGGTTGTTTGACTTTGAGCAGTTGGATCAAACAGTCAATGGTTTGTCTTGGGTTTATTCTAGGGTGTCACGTTTGAAGTAACATCGTTACTTCTGTCGACGGTTAGTGATTGTTGGGCAAAAACGAACGAAAACTTTAGTGTAAAGAAACCGGCTACTGCCACTGACCGTCAGGTGTTGACCAACGTTTAGTGCCTACTAGTTAATGTACATGGCATACTGAACCTGCTTTTTGTGACCGAGTTCTTAAGAAGCTTTAGAAAAACCTATTAAAATCACATCTATCCAGGTGGTAGTTGATATCCTTCAGGTTATTTTTTGCCATACCGGTCAGTCTGTAGTTAACAAGACAAGATAATGGTGAATGAAAGCTGCTGCACATGTGATAGTACCACCGCAAGTTCAACGACAAATCTTCTAGTAAGCTACGGGTCTATCCTTGAAGGATTACTCCTGTAAAAATTTGCGGCTTTTGTGCAATGGGTAGACCAAACATATCAGTGACTACAACTATCACTGCCTTCCAGAAAACATATACTCTCCACTACGAAGAATTTTTATCATACTTTCGGATGACCATACCGTTTGCGCGTAGTTACATCAAAGGTTAGAATGTCCCATCTATTGCTTTCCGAGGAAAACTACAGGGAACAAAAGCAGCAAATTTAAAACGCAGCTGGTTGACCTAGCTGCATACTGAAATATGAAAAGCAAGCAACTAAGGATGTCCACTACATTTTTTGTCACAAATCGTGGAGTTCCCCAGTATCACCTGCTCGACAATGGTCTACTTAATGTGAACTTTAAAAAAAGGACTGTAAGTGGAAGTCTCTTTCGACAACAATTAGTAATCAAGCTCTGATCAAGGTCGAGGTTGCGTGCTTTATTGGGGTTTAAAACAACGAACCGATTGCAGTGGTGGTTGGCTTGTTCTAGTCTCCATGTAATTCAGTCGAGCAGTGCTCACTAACGCTGCTTGACATGCCTATTATGGTACGAACACAATGCCCTATGCGTAAGCATAGAAATGAGTGCACACAAGTAATCCAGAGTGAAGTGATTTAGCCTTAAGAGCTCTCACAGTAACTCAGCAGCATGGTAAATTGGTTCAGCTATGTAACACAAAGACTGTTTTCAAGCCCCCCCTAAATTGAGCTGTCTTCGACCAACAAGTTGCGATCTTGTGCATGATAATCCTAGTTAAGAAATGGTGCTTAGGGTAGTTTATTTATCTCTTCTCTTTACGATGACTTTTTTGGAGCAGACTGCAGTAAGACCTTGTCGTTTAATACCCTGGAACCGATCAATTCTCGGCCACATACGTCAGCTTTGTGATTTTCCCATGAGTTCTCTCTATATGCATTCAATTTTGTTCTAATGGATTTCGGATTCCTTTTAGCTTGAAAGCCTTAGTAATTATAAAATTTGTGACTACAGTTTATTACTGCTACCTCATCTGACAACTTTTTCTCATCACATCGCTAACAGCCTTTTGTGTATAATTAAATTTGGTTAAGATGTATGGTAGACATCGCTAACTGCAACGTCGAAGGCATCTTTCTTTTTTTGTTTCCATTTTTTGGCACTCGTCGTGAGCCCTCCAAAACATGGTGATTTCCGCCCGTGATTTCCTGCGGCTTGGTTCGCCTGTTACATCGCGGAAAATCTCCAATCAGCTTGAAGTTCAGAGAAGAATACACTCTTAGTTTGGTCGCTGGTTACCTTGGTTACTGATGCTACAAACAGTGACATCATTGATCTTCTGTTTCAAGTCCTCCTTTTGTTATCAAGACAGACTGCTCAAAATGTGTATAGTTCCTTTGTGCGGACGCTTCGTAAGATAAACAAAAAAACAAGACCGCGCTGAATAAGTTACCATTGTAAATAGACCACACATGCCGTATTTTCACGTCCATTCCAGATAAAAATAGATAGCTCATGAATAAGCTTAATCATTTTCATAGGATGAACTATTCACAAGGTTGCTCAAAGCTTTTCGACAGCCAACGACCGCTTTTACCCCTCTTGGGGCTCATCAGTCACGCATAGTCCCCGAGTTTCCTTCAACCTCCTGTTCTACTTGAACCCAGGTTGGACAGATATCCACAAATACACTCATTTGTATATTAGTTTGGTTTTCACAAGACTCAGCTGAATCTCTTCTTTGTGATATTCTTCAACTAAATGTGGTGCACCAGTCGTGGGCTGTCGAACGGTCTTCAGCAACCTTGTGAGTAGTTTCTTTTGTGAAGATATAATGCGATACCTCGAAATCTTACCAAGTGAAACATGGGGCGGCCTTTGCTCATCAGATTCACTTGAAGGATGTCATATCATCTCCCGTGAAACACGGTTGGTATGCAAATGGGCGTTTTCATAGAGAAACTCAAATATTCTACATCAGCATCGACTGAAAGTTGAGTTTTTAATGCACACACCATCCTGAAGTTAGTTACTTTCTGCAAGTTGGTTTCGTCCTTTCAGGTATTTCGAATTTTCGTACTTCATGCCGACGATAGCAAAGTATCAAACTGCTGTCGCTCCCAGTGTGACAGATTATGAACTGGCTGAAGATACGAATGCTGTAGATTCCATTCGATCACATTCTCAGCAACCCTACCTAACTAGACACAGTCCTGGACTAAGATCAGTGTAGTTACATCGGTATACGGAAATAAATTATGGTGCAAAATCTACTAATGTTGAATTTCCAGGCTTTTTCTTTGGATTGTGTGGTGTAAAATCTTATCAGTGAGCCTCTTTGTTAGGTATCTTAGCTTCACACCTTTTTTCAGACATTCGTGATCAGATGTTTGCAACTATAGAGCACCTGCAAAATGTACAGGGTAAATGTCTTGCGATGCAAGTGTATTTATGGAAGAGAAGATTCGTTAACTCAAACCTCGACCTCAAAGTTAAGGTATTTCCGTGATACATGCTGGCATTTGTCAGACATTTGGTCTGGTCTAGTCGTGCTACAATCCCTGGCACTCAGTCGAGCTCAAGCATTTTGGTTTCCCACAGTCCGTAATATCTTAAGTTTCCTAGGTCCATAGTAGTTATGAATTAACTCCATTTTCGTCATTGTAAAGGTGGTCTTGTTTTGGCTGTCGGGACATTTGGGGTGTTGGATATGAAGGTCAGAGCATAAAAGTATAGTATTATTTACTGCTGGTTTTCCGAATGTTTCCACCACACGGAATTACCAAGATCTTGACAGAATTCATTAGCGCATCTCATAATAGTTGGCCCACACGTCTTTTAACCTTACTCAAAAGGAGCCGTCCTGTAAGGCAGATAAATTCATTTGACCTGCTCTCATTGACCGGTTTTCTATGGCCACAAGCTCTAATTGGGCCTTCGTTTGACATGTGCTGTACGACTATATTGTTTCGCTGTTGTGAGAAGATCTGTTAAAGCAAACTCTATGTGGCCATGAAAATAAAAAAAAGCTGGAAAAACGAGAATGGGCTTGAAGCAATATTAGAGTTCCCGGGTTACACCCTGTCTATAGACTACATTAGTCCTTCTGCACAACGACAACTCACAGGAGAACGACTCAGATTGGGGATGGCCTTTCTCGAACAAAAGATATTTTATTGATCGCACAAGCTGATTGCAATATGCATGTTCAGGAATTGGTTGCTAACACAAGGAAGCATTGAAAATGGTAAAGTAACCCCTTAATAAGACCTAGAATAAAACGAACGCCTTAGAATGACCACAATTACCGTCCACAGAGGTTATCATCCTATAAGTTGGGATAACTACGTTAAGAAACAATTAGTTCACAAACACTTCCTAAAATAGTAACAATAGTTTTCGTTTGTATTAAAGAATTTGTGCCACCTCACTTTGAATCTTCTCATTTCATCAAATAACAGAGGTCAGAACGTATCTGCAACGAGAGAATTCACTCTGTTGATGTTTGCATACATCAACATCATCGGCAGCTCAGCGTCACTGTTTAACATTGGCGCTTTGTCACTTTACGACCAAGATTTGTTTGAAAGCCTTGCTGTAAAAAAATCATAAAAGAGGCTGGCTGATTCATCACAATTGGTACTAGATGTTTATGCCTCCAGACACTCATGCAGACAACATGGATGGAAACTATGCCGTTGACTTTGATTCAGTGCCATATCTTGCAGCACTTCCAAGCACGCACAGTATAGATCAAGGGGATCCCATCCTGGAAGGCGAGTTACACCAACAACAACCAAAATTTTATAATCTCTTCTATACCTTTATCAAAGACAAAGGTTGACCAAGTCTCTGATTTTCGTCAATCTGCGTTGGTCAAGAAAGACCACATGATGAGTCACACGCGCAATACATGACCGAACCTCACTGTTACGGCTTAACGATTATCTTCCTTTCCATTTTCATGAAGAATACAAATAAATTATTACATTCACAAACTTTAGGGTCATAACTCGACGAATAAACACGTTGAAAAGAACAGACAGGTTAACCGTGTCGAATGTGCCTTGGAAAACCAGAAGTAGCACAATTGTGAGTAGTTTATATGTATGGCACTGTTTTAGCTCACAACAAAATGTAGAGATGACAGCGCGCCTCCACTGGACCAAAATCACGCTTGCTGCTCTCTTAGCTCACTACTCCACGAACCGAGGTAAGTAGTGTCAAGAGTTTCGTTACTACTGAATTCATAACGACCCTATTGTGACTGCCACATGCCACTGTGGGCCTTTTCAAGAAAACAGTCACTATCCCCAGTTGGGATGGTTTCCTTTCCTCACTGAAGCCAAATGAATCAAACAAACGCCGACTGGCGACCTAACCTACAACGTTGGATAATGCGGGTGGGATGGTATTCGGTCCGGAATCTTGACAGCGCTTGAGATGGTTCTGCATCCATGAAGTTCAGAAGCTGTAGAAGAGTCCAGCCTTCCCATCCAGGTTACTAGTGTAGTAAAAAAGATCCAACTGAGTAGCGGCAAACAGCTATGAGTGCTGGTGATCAAAGTGCTCATTCTGGTGTTTTTCTGTAATAAAGCTGATCACACCAGCTTGATTGTTGATCGTTTTGCAGCTTTTGGAGACCGGTCAAACAGTCTCCAAATCTACAAAAGTGTTCAAAAGAAATGGACAGTCAGTACTTATCCACGCCACTGGTGACTGATAATGAACGATATGATCAAATTGAGTCTGCTAATGGCGTGCTGTTGGAGGGCACCAAAAAATAAGATAATTCCGTCGTTCCGAGACGTAATGCGACATAAAGACAGTTTGTTGTAGGCACATGATTGAGATATTCGTTCGTCGCTGTCCTTACATACTTAGCCCATTTCAGTCATCGGTACTCGAATTTCGTCCACTTGTGCCTTCAAATCCCAGCAACCATAACGGTATCCGAGTTTTGGCTCTCCATAACAAAGCACCTAAGATGTTTCGAAAGTTACTTTCAATGGTGATAGAGCCATAGTCGCTGTTACTACTGTCACTGGGTACCCACCCAGTAGAGGAACATTCCATTCGGTGACTTCAAACGCTGCTAACGCCTCCACAACCTGACACAGTGGGTTGTGGATAGCTGGATAGCCGGATACGATTAGATAGTGCTAGGGTATTTAGCTCATCTGCCATGTCTGCGTTTTTAATTGCGGTTTCTGAAATGCAGCACATATCCATGTCAAGTAGGTCCAGTGTGAGAGCATGAGCAGTCTGTTGTTCCGCTTCCTCCGGAATGCGAAAATTAAAACTGCCAGGTAGAGTGAGCGTTGAAGCTTGAAGGTAATTTTGAGATGCCTGAAGCCATCGGCACCGACTGACGTGCGGATGTTGCTACCAGAACCAATGCAAGGCCGTCAGTCCTAACTGATAAGCCTACATGGAGAAGGTTGGTAATAGGTTGAGTGGAGGGGAAGAAAAAGTATGTGAAAGAGGAAGAAGGAAAGCATCAGCTTTGGCCTGTTTTCGCTGACATGCCGAACTGTACGCACCAAGTGAAGTGACGTAACTGATTAAAACACACCGTAGCCGATGTAGCGTGAAATTACTCCTGCTGGAATCGTGCTTGTACGTGGATTGGGAAACCGAAAACTAGACAGAAGGATAACTAGCGCTGTCAACCAAAGCCTTCGATTCAAAAGCCTATCTGCGAGGCCTGGCAAGAAATGAGGTGTCCGGTGTGAAGTGCTAGTTCATTACATTTGTTTAAAAGAGCAAGTCGTCACAGGCACTGCAACCCCAACCGGTGAGCTGCATTGATCAGAATTCTAACCGTTGACATCCCAGTATACGAGGTCACACATATCGCACAGGCACTGCCAGCTAGCTCACTGGGACATGGAGGTGCACAAACCCTCACACTAGGGTATGTCTTACTTGGATGCAGCTTACTGCAGACCAAGTTGTCTGCAAACATATACCGTGCACAAACGGGCCAACAACTCCAGTATGACCTATCGGTATGATTACTGGTATGTTCTCAAAGATTGTAACTCAGATATTGTGCCCCGAGACACAAAGCGCGTAAAAGTATCCATTTTGTCATCAAATTTTATCAGCATCAACCTTTAATATATGGTTTATCTAGTTTGTTAGGACAGATAAAAGACTGTAGAAGAATGACTAAATTTAGAAAGATGGTGCCATTAAAACCCCTAATCTTTCAACTGAGTGATGACTCTATCTTTTACATGGTTGTTTGCGTCTGAATAAAATATCGCTAGGTACAAACCGGTACTGGTCTGTTCTCGATGGTGTTTTTCTCTGGTAGAGTTGTGATCACTGAGGCTTCAGGGAGCATGCAGAACTGGCCGCTTCCAAGACGTAGTTTCTAATAATGAGGTTCATCTATAGGGGGACAATTGTAGTGCCATTTGGTTCATTCTGATAGCAGCCTACAAAGGGGTGCGTCGTCAAGAGATATTCAGGTTTAGTGCTTAGTGCTGTAGTGACTTTTAGAATATTAGGTCACAACTGTGTAAGCTCACTCATCTGGCGTTAGCTGTGGCATAGTTTCTTTAATCCATTCTATCCTCGCAGCGAATAAGACAGCCCGGCTAGTGCCACTACGCTGGTATTCCCAAACCTTCGCACTACAATACGTTGAAGCCTCTTCGCAATTGATCTTTTGTCAACAGGCAGTAATTTGACATGCTGAATACTTGACAGAAGATGCTGTGTCTGCCTCTAAAGTTGGTCGTTTATTTGAAGAGTGGTTCACAACTTGCACTCCTTTTTTGATTTGGCATTCGGCGAATAGCGTTGGGCTAACGAGATAATTGTCGATAGCTGTTCAATGAAATTCTAAATATATAGGAATAAGTAACATACATTCTCAGTTTTGTCCACTTTTCAGGCACCTAACTTTTCTCTTTTTTGGAAAAATTCACAGATTTCTGAAATATTCTGTAATCTGTCCAGCAAATCCGGTGCACGTTGTAAACTCTACTGTCCTAATGGAGTGATGGATCACGTGATAGACTGCATCATCTATCGAAATACTTTGGACCCTGCCAATCAGCACTGGACTTCAACGCACGAGACAGCCTCCTATTTGGTCTACTTCAATTGGATAAGGCTATTGGCTCGCTTGACTGAGTATACTGACGCATGCCACAAACTCGATAGGGAAGTTTCTTGTCAGGCTTCACACGAATCCTTGGCACTAGAAGACAGTCTGGAATTCAACGGTATGACCTCAACGAAACTCCACTCTTTGGTTAGCAAGACGAACGACAGAATCAGGGCGTTCTGTTTGGCCCTCAAAAATATGTTCAACTGGTTCCCAGATAATGAGGTACGTTGCTATTGGCAATCTATATTCAACGAAAAGCCTTTTCTCCTATAGCTTAGTTTTCACTGAATTATGTCCAATGGTCATTTAGTCGGTTACTAGTCACTGCTTTTGGCAGTCAAAGGGCGCTGCTTTAATGTTCATATGATCCGATTTATCGGTGGAAAATGCTGTATTCAGGAGAACGTGCAGGACGACCGGGACGACAGGCGTAGAAAGAGCATCGTATGGCATTGGCTTAAATCAGTTGGATGGGACTGACAAGACAGATAGATTGTTTGGTCAGGGCAGAGTCGATACGGATAAACCGACCCGACGTTTGCAACAAAATTGACAAGCTTAGCAAAACAGTTAAACTGAAAAATCCTTCAACGAGTTTTTAAACTCCAGTAGTTGACAGATTTTTAGGGATGTCCTCGGGTGAGAAGACATTTTCCGGATTGTAAAATTTGATTGATTTTAGCTGCATTTTTGGCCGAAAAATCAGGTGCGGAATTTCCCCAATACAATTAAATTAAATAAGAACATTGGTGTGGAGCACTTTCGCGCTTTTTATTGTTAGTTGACTACTTATTACGGGGGTGTTACTACGCTTGTTTATTTTCAAGGAGTTCGTTGTTCGTCTGGCCTACCTACTGGGTAACCTTACGGCACGTTTGGAAAGTGCACGTGAGGCACTGTTCCCGGACAATGAGAGCCTGAAGAACTTTTGTAACCTGTGTTATCGGTACGCAAAATCGCTTGACTTGAATCAGCCAACAGTTCCCATCAGAACAAATTCCATCAGTACAAAAATGAATGCTTGGATCGGTAAGTGTGAACTGTTCCACTACTGCAGTTGTTTTTTAACAGTTTTCAAACAATTAGTTTCTATGGGAAGTAAACTCGCATTAGGCGCTTTGAAATATTAGCAAAATAAAACATAGATAATTTCGGCGCCCTACGGGTTATTTCTTTATCATGTTCTATCATACGAGCGTAGTTTCAAACTTCTCGTAAGTCTTATTTCTTGCTTATCGCAAACTTGAATGTGTGGTTAACACAAGAACAGGCAGAACTTCGGTTCTTCTGTGGCCGTTTAAATCAGTTTTATACGCATGCCTGGGCAGCCAGCAATCGTAAATAAGATATCAAGTATTGCTTATCGCTGAAGCAGTAATTAAATATCTTACTAAAGCCAGCTGATCTCACCCGAACGTAATTAAGCCGCAAGCTGAACAGTGTGAATTTTCCTCAATATTACGGAACTTGTGCGAGAGCGCTCTCAGCCTGTCCATAGGGACTTCAGAGGCAATGTCAATCCTACCCTACTCCCCAGTATATCCATTCACATACATTCATCTGAAAAAAATTTATTGTGAGAATTTTCACATAAGACATACAAGGAAGTTACGGTGTTTATAATCACAAAACTTTTAAGTTAAAGTGACTTTAGATAATATAATGCGTGTCCACGCCATTTATAAAAAATGTCGGTGGAACCGTGATGTATCAATACGGTTTTTTAATGGTTTGGGATTAGAACAAAGGTTTCTCGGTGTTACCCAAAGGACTTACAGCCTAGTCGCGTGCAAACTGTCGCTTCCCATTGGGGCACATATTTCTAGTCTCAATTCATATATCCACTGGACACGAGTGTGCTCGCGCATACAGCTTATGATGGGAGGCTCCACTGGTCAGTCTGCTAATCAGTAAGCATAACTCGTTACCTGGCTGGTGACAACAGATGGGCGGTGCAGACTTGGCGAGCAGTCTAGGGTACTGTCCGCATACCTAGGCCCTGCTTCTGATGGTAACAAACAATTCCAAAACAGTTCATTCCGATAGCCAATTGAATCTGCGATGAAACTCTTGTTGGTGAAACTGTGGTCTTGAAACACAAGCAAGGTAGCATTTATTCAAATACCTCCATATGCTCATGTACGACTAAATCTCAACGTCACTTTTTCTCCCGGCAGATAACATTTTACCAGTCACTGAAATAAAACGCTAAGCTGATTTTCAGTCAGCGTTCCAGCTCAATATGAGATCTAATGGGATAATGCTAACCCACATTAGATTTTTCCATATTTGATTAAATGCAACAACACATTGTTGTACGCACCAAGTATGATGGATTTACTGAACGGAGTACGCCATGAGTTACTTGATTCAGACGCTTCACATTTTACTGCAGACATTTTGCTTATACCTGTCTTGTTTCACAAGTTTCGCGCCTACAAAGATCACCTCCCTATTTGTGTTGTTTGCGAATCGCTATCCTTAATTGTATTGTCGTAAACGCGGTATTAGGGGAAGTGCATGACTGTTATGGTCGACTCAGGCAAGCCGGCAGTCAGCCGTGAAGTTCCCTGTTCCTGAAGTCTCATGAAAGTTACCTGGACATCCAAACGTGAAAAAGGTATCGGATGTTATGCTTCTTTGCCTATTTATAGCTACAACAGTACGTTTTCATCAGATTTTAGTTACAACTCATCACTTATCACCCGTCAGTATCCCGTACCCAGTATGAACGTGAAAATCTACCTACTGAGAAGCAAGCGAAGGCTTAGTGGATATGATAACGTTGATGGTTGAGTCTATTATAAAAGTTATGGTTGGATATGTCATAATATGTGCACAAACTAGTGCATCATTACATTTTCTGAGATCCATTTGTTATCTCCCACCTCAGACACAGTCACGCTTTGTCAATGTTATTTACCCAGAGAGACTGGTGAATCATCTCATCCATTGTTTGCACTTACCAACCTGCGCGTTATAACAAAACCGTTTCAAACTAACCATAATAATAATTAGAATTTTGAAACGATACATACTTACGTTTAATCCACTGTGTCAGTTTTCGTAAGCACTGGCCTTATTTCAGGACCAGTTGCAAAATATAGGCCAGTCAACTACGTCTATTCTGAGACCTTTTACAGACAAATGAGTTGAACCAGAGAAAGTTTAACCCTAGTTGACTAACCATGCATGAGAAATATGCCCTTGTCGTTGAGAGGTACTTGTACCATACCCATATTTCAGGTGGAGTAGAATAAATAACATACAAACTGAGCGAATTCCGACCGAACGAGGGCAGCTCGCCTACTGACTCCCTTGGTGAGGTACTATGTGCAGTTCGGTTACCGCAAAGTGCAGATACCCTGTCTACTAGGGATTGCTTTTCATGTAGAGCCAGACAACGCTGATCAGCACTACCGGCTCCTTCCATTGCTTGATATGTTATTCATGCCGACTACTGCCAAGTGAAGCAGGCTCTAACCATGTAGATACCGCTCAGCCAACTGCCATGTCTACACAGTTTGTTTGATCTGACTATGACTTTATTCCGATGCGTTCCATACTCTTGTCAAAAAAGTTTTCAGAACATCAACAAGATTTTACAAAAAACAAAACTTTTCAGACGACTGGCAATGTCACTCAGTGTTACCAAAATTATTCTCAAAATCAAAATCTCAAACCGGCTGCCCGAATGCGGTTAGAAAGCAACATGGTTGGTCGGAAGCAGGATCCTTGATCATCAAGCAACAGGTCTGAGCGAGTTCACTCAGAAGGCACGTAGCCAGAAGGCACATAACCAATCATGTTCCACACCACTGTACGCTTTTCCGCATGTGCCAATTGCATCATTAGGGCATTCGAACGCACAGAGGAGGATAAAATCCGCACATCCGCCTACCATACCATATACCGTATCTATGTATCCATGGTGGGTCTGTTCAATGGCCCTAACGAGATTATTTGGCAGAGATTCGCCGGTGCATCACCGCGTCACTTCAGAAAAGAGGGAACCTGTCAGCTATGGCGCAAACAAACCGCGTCAACACCCACACCGCCTTTTCTGTGGCTCGAAGTATACTAAATGGTCCGGAAGGCACAGCTCGGTCCAGGGAACAAAAAGTTTGAGACACTGGGCTGGATAACTGATAGCTAAGCTTAATGTAGAGAAAATCCGAACTGACGTATACTCAGAGTTCAATCATCTTATAACGACGAACTTAGTCCTCATTTTCGAAGGAAGAAATAGTTCATGGACAAAAGGTTTCCACCAGTTTTGTATCGAAAACCTATCGACAACTCCCATCAGAGTGCAACGGACAGATAGTGAATAAGGTTGGCAAGACAAGCCATCCTCCACACTGAAATACTAATTCTTCTGCTCTAAACCTAATCAAAGTTCCTGGGACCACAAAGTGTTGGAACGCGACGACGCGGCTGGCCAGGGGGGTGCTGTCAAACCGGTGAGCCGAGGACGGTGAATGTGGCATGGTTACATTGGAAGGCTTCATCGCTCGAAGAGCTCGTCAACGCGTAATCAAATGATGCGGATTCTGTGACTGAAGGATTAGTGGTGCTATATACCGCCTAAGTGAGAGTTTAGGACATTGCGGATCAGTCACTCGTTTCCGAACGGCTTAGTCTACAAACTAATAGCCAGAAGTTTCGAATTCATATCTGCCCAGAGCATCTTTAGATGAGCAACGATGTTTGTTTTAAATGAGGATGAAACAACCATGACGTTTCCTGGCTTCCCAGTACTGATTAAATTAACTTACAGGATGAAATCTCTATTGGAAACTAGACCCGCTTAGACGTAGCCCTGAAGAACGTTCCGTGAGTCATAAGTTCATCAGCCGAAGTAATCTGATTTGTGCAAACTGGCAAAACTGAGTCAGACCTGATATTATGCATATCACATATCCATAGATTAGTGCCACAAAATCAGATTTTGAGGTGTCTTGAAAAATGGGTGACTGTCTTGAAATAAGAGTTTAATGAAAAGACCACCAACTGATCAGATATTTTAGGACTTACGTGCCGAGGGTCAGTTTGTGTCTTTCTCACGAAAGGGTATGCGAAAAACAGCTGTGTTTCTCATCATGCATCTACCCATCACTCATCAGCTATCTATTTTTAACACATCTTGGTAACATGGAATACTATTTCGTATCTTTTTCCCTAGTAGGTTTCCGAAAACGAAGGCTTTCATCTGGAACCAGGGGGGTGTATAGCCATGAAGATGCCATGATTTTGTTTCCTTAATCGCGATTTTTAGTCGTCTGTTATCAAGACTTACATGGGACTTTGCTATGCTTTATTTGGGTGAACTTAAAAGTTCCAAGTGCCATGTTTTATAGGAGTTCCGGTTTTCTCCAACTGAGTTAACGAGATTCGCAATACGGTAAGGAAACCAAGGAGTTTATCTGATGCAAGTCAAACTTTGATAAGCTAGACATTTACCCCATCAGTTCAGTTTCTTCCACCGAAATTTATTTTTAAAATATTTACTCTTCTTTTGTTGCTTATCGGTTTGCGCCATAGGAAATATTATAATCCTTAGGCCAAACAACACTTGAATATTACTCTAAAGATGCACACCATTGGCGTACTGTTACCCTTGAGATTAAAATATACTCGTCCGAGTTGCTTTACGGTTCATATGGCAATAAGATACCAGAAGAGTTCATTTATCAGGTGAATTCTGAAAATACTGCTACATGTTCTCAGAAAAAGGGCTCCAAGTAAAAAGCTATGTGGCCTACATCTGCTCAGCAAAATCAAACCCACTTGGTAATTTGCGTTTTGCATGTAATTTCTCTTAGAAATTATACCAGCCCTCGACCTCTCATTGGATAACAAGTTATGACCCGAGTCATTTGAGTTTGTATTCCAGTGTGCTTCACCGGCAGCAATATCATCAGTGGTGTATAAGCTGCGTGTCTGACTCGAACGTCAGACGTTTCAGCCTTAGTCAGAACTGTGTACTCCATGGGGAGATTGTCTGAGACAATCACATAAGATCTAGCCGCTAGCCTAAGCTCTTCAAAACTGGGAGCCCATTTTTTGACATGAAAGGATTTCGGATCCAGAAATTCCATCTGCCCACTTTCGGTTATAATTAACAATGAGACAATTACTACAGGACGGATGCTTAATCTATACAATTAGCTAGGGTGATACGCAGACTAGGTTTAACTAGCAAACTGCAATTTCCAAAACGGAATTTCACTGCGTAATGTGAGCTTGGGGTCCAATTCTGTTAATGAGTTTCTGAACGGCTAATCGTTGAGTCTCAAATTTTTCTGTCAATGTTTTCATTTTCGCCACAAAACATTTAGAGTCAAAAGCTCCGAATCAGCGACACACGAACGTACAAGCTGGCACAGACGACAAAAACTCGGATGTTTTGGATAAGCTTGTGCGGATACTGGCCAACGCTGCGATTGGCGATGCGGTTGGGAGGCTGGCAGTTACCGGTTCGGATTGTTTGAATCTTTTTCTGACTGTTATTGGTAAGTGCACTAAGATCTCGGAAGAACACATCCTAGCACATCACCAACAAACTGGTTGAAGGGATTCTCACTGTATTTCTAAAAGCTGATTTGACATTTACTAGGGAGTTAACCAGTTTTTTAATTAGTTAGTCTTAACAGCTACATTTCCATGTCTTCTGCGAGAAGGAGGATAGAGGTGAACCTTGTCTGTTGATGGTGACCAACCCTAACTTATCAAGCGGAAAATAAGTTAAAAAAAACATTCCGCGGAGAAAGACCACGTCAAGCATAGGATATATTGGCCACTGACCCTTGATCAGTAGTGCAAACAGTGGCATCGTTCGTCCGTAATAAGGTTCGGATTTCTCACCACTTTCTGGAGTAACTAAAATACTCACTAGTTGTTGTGAGTTGTTGCTCACAATCAAGTTTGCTTTCCTGAACTTAAGCAAGACGCAACAAAACCCCGTATTCGCCCCCTACTTTAAGCGAAGGCAGTCTGTAACAAAGGGCTTGGTATTCAGGTCCTCTGATATAAAACTGATCTTTACTCAATTTTGGAAAGTCTCAGACGACGTATATGTTCAGATAGTCTCTGTCTCTCTGAACGAAAGACCGCTCGAATCCATTTTTCAAACTTTTGCGTTTTGGTAGACAACGTAACCCGGACAAAGTTGAGTCACATTCTTAGGTGGACCAACCACACAAAAATGAAAAATTCATTCATAAGTTTGTGGAATTGGTTGGATGCGTGTTCAGATAACTCTCTCGCGAGCACTTCTTCGAAATTTGTGTACAGTTGTTACTGTTAGTCCACACCAAAGAGCGGGGGCTGGCGAGTTCGAAATTTGACATTATTAAGTCGGGATTAGAATTCACGCCATCTGATGTTCAAGTCAAACACGTTGCTGCTACTTCCTCAGCTCATGCTGGATGTATCTGGAGCCAGCAGTCTACTGAGATCACAGCTTGTCAAGTAAATCAAGATAGATTGCTAATTTTCTAGTCTCTCTAAGAATAAACTAGACGATAGTCTTGACAAAAATGGCGACTCTGATGCATTGTTATGGCTAGCGAGGTGCTCCGACAATCTAATTTCTGCCTAACCGCTCGCAGCTGAGTGTGGCTACAACTAATCCCATAAAGGACGCTTGAATTTTATGTTTCAATCAACCTTAATAAATGGATTTCCCACGTTGACAGTCAGTTATTCAGTATGAATTGATGAGGTTTTATATGACAAGCTGTGAATTTAGCCTTCAACATTCCCTCAAGCACTCACGTTAATTTGAGGAGGACCGATGGAATGGGCGGTTTTTGCTAATGTTGTGGATGGGAATGGTATGACAATCTTTCTTCGTCACTTTTGCATTTATCTTCAGGTAGTTGTTTCCTCACACTCCATTAATTCCGTCTATTTTATTTTCGGAACACGACTGGGAGTTTAGGGATTCCTGTGCTACATTAGGCCGAATCTTTTCTCTTTTTGACCGGGATAGTTGCATCCTCTAAGATTTCATACATTCTGAACAAAGCCCTACTCTCCATTGTTTAGTGAACGAATTCTCTCGTGGTCCAACGGAATCGCTTCTCAATTGTTTGGCAGGGCTGAACAATATCACTTACTACATCAATGCAGATAGTGAACCCGAACTGGTTGCAAGGCAGTTCGATATCGCAGAAGGTAAGAATATCTCGTATAACCTGATTTTTTGTCCGCCCTTCTCTCCGATCACCATACATTCAATATCGTGACTATAGATTAGATCTGAATCTGACAAGCAATAGGTTTTCCTATATGGAAGGGTTTGGTCTCCCACATTGTGAACTGCTTTAGTGGTTATGTTCATTGTGGTTTGTATCTCATCTTTCCAGTGTTACTGCGCGCACTCGCGAGCCCCGACACACATCCAGAAGTTGTGTTAGGCTGTATCCGCATCCTCGGCAACTTGACCCGACAACGAAACCTACGACTTTGGCTCGTAGAGTCTGGTGGTTCAGTGCTGCTTAAGTCTAAAAATGAAACACACACCAGAGAAACGGGTGCCCGTGATGCTATTTTGCAGCTTCTCATTGAAAATTTGGATTCAGCGCAACCTGAACTGGTATACAGTACTTTGGGTGTGTTGATTAATATGATGGCCGATATAGATCAGCGGTCCAGTTTCCGACAACTTGGCGGACTAGCAAGGTAAGCAGATACCCTCAGTTCTCTTCCGTTGGTTAACTCACCTATTTGTCACGTGGATCGTTTATATTTGTCTGCACCTTAGAGTCTTCATGAAGACCACTGAAGCTTAAGACCGTTTGCCGTCCATGAATATACCGGCGGTGATGTCAATGTGCCGATAAATGTGATGAAAAAGGTACACTATAGAAGGAAGAAACACAAACGCTAGGTCAGCGCCGAAACCTATATACTGATTTTTGTAATTTGAGGTGAAGTTGAACGTTGAACCGCCCGTTCACAGCTGCCTTCGTCTGTTACAGCCAAAGGTATCAGCATGTTTGAACTACATTTATGCAAGAGTTGTCTGAAGTTTGGCAATCGAACATGTCTATGGTGTCGGTTCGAACCCATTAAGTGAATGTCGGACTGATCAACCCAACCACAACTACGTAAGTGAAAGATGCGAACGAAACAACTCTTCATCAGGTTTCAATGTGGTATCCGTGTACGTGCGCGCGACTGTAACCAAGACAGAGTTAGGATAGCGAGAACAGGATGCATTCGCTGACCCGGAAGAGATGAAATTCCCAACGATAATATGGAGCTCGTTCATGGTACTTGCAATGCATACACCACGAGCAAAATCCCTTACAAGGACCATTGTCGTCCGATCCGTGTAAACAGGCTGAACTCGGGTACGCGACTTGTGATGTAACACCAGGTTATGCTGTCATACTGAGTTTTGATTTTGCACTTCGTAAAACATGACATTTGTTTTTCAAACCTATTGAGCTTAGGCAGTAGTTGGATGCGAATGCTCAAAATGCTCATTCCAGAATATGAACGAACATGAGTGCATTCCATGACCTATTTTCGGGCAGATCTACAGTAGAACGACCTAAACAGTGATCCTTCAGTACTTACAAATTCACATCACGGAGTAAATTTAGTCTGGCCGTCAAATTCCGTGCTAACGTATTCTNTCCGATCCGTGAAAACAGGCTGAACTCGGGTACGCGACTTGTGATGTAACACCAGGTTATGCTGTCATACTGAGTTTTGATTTTGCACTTCGTAAAACATGACATTTGTTTTTCAAACCTATTGAGCTTAGGCAGTAGTTGGATGCGAATGCTCAAAATGCTCATTCCAGAATATGAACGAACATGAGTGCATTCCATGACCTATTTTCGGGCAGATCTACAGTAGAACGACCTAAACAGTGATCCTTCAGTACTTACAAATTCACATCACGGAGTAAATTTAGTCTGGCCGTCAAATTCCGTGCTAACGTATTCTTGTTGTACTCTATGGAATAAACCGAACAAGGGTTTCAGATGAGCCCAGCACATTCAAGTAAAGGAAGAAGCAAGGGTAGACCTCTAAGCAGCCGGAGTTTACACTAAACAACTTACATTGAAAGCTTCCGTGAGAGTGCGTCACTTCCTATCGGCCGACTCGATTTATTGGATTTAGTCTTCTTAACTCTTCGTGTTGCAACTTGAGTCCTTCCAGTATTTTTAATCATTACTTGACAGTTACAGACCATCAGAAGCTTTTGGTCCATTATTGTTGAGTTGTTTCAACGTGTTCACTCTTTGACCAGTTTCCCACTGCTGTCATTATTAGTCGAGAGTTTGAGCTGTCACAAGCTCGATTTCGATTTCTCAACAGTATGGGTTGACCTCGTAGCACAACAGAGCATGGGTCATATGAGCTCAACAGAAACAGCATCTTTATCCAAGGACGCCACCTGATCGTCAGCTAACTTACGTAACACATGACAAGTTACAATGTCATTTGGTGGTAGTCAGGCTGAAAGAACTTTCTGGTCCGGCGAACCAAGTCCTGTGAGCAGTATTCAGCAACAAAATTAAAGTTAAATTGCTGGGGATATTATATGGTTCTACATGCACTTCCTACAAGTATTCAGGATCCATTGTTCTGGTTTATTCAGGCTGGTTGCTGCCCTTCGGGACTTTGCGGGTCATGACTGGCAACTAGCGGGCTTGGCTTGCAAAACGCTGTGGAACTATACGGAATCCCCAACCCAACCTATTTCTGAATTGATTGACGTTGGGACGATGCAGGAACTCTACCACCTCCTAACGGAGTTCACTGGTAAGTACCAATGTCAACTGTCCCTTGCTGAAAGCGTCCAGCTAAATGGATAGATACTCTTGAGGCACCTAATCAGAAATGGAGTACCTTTAAAAGGACAATTCCTAAAATTCTTTGGTCTTCCGCAGCATTTACTAGTTGCATAAACAGAAAGTAACCCCAAGAGGACTTGACGATTTTGAAGTGCCATTACCAGTGACGTTAAAAAAAATCCAACCTAAACTTGACAGATTAAACTAATTTTCCGAGACAACCACGGAATACCACTATTGTTACTTTCGATAAGAATAAATCTTGGTAAAGTGAGACAGAAATTCGCCTAAGTATTTATCCAATTCTACTGTCTCCGCCGTTAAGACAAGCAGGTTGGCCAATAAGTTAATTGTGTGAGCCACTTGACTTGCGAGCTTGTGTTCCTTCAGTTGCATTTTACTAATTACAGAGCTGTATGGCCATACTACCCGCTGTTACCCTCGACAGTGCGTAAGCAAAAATTTTCACCTGAGAAGCGAAATAGGTCGCACACATTACGAGGGACACCGCATTCCAACCCACCAGATCCCTCGTCGCAATTTTTGTCCCAGTGCTGCCGAAAACAGGAAGTTACGAAAAATTCAACCCAATGTACTAAATTTTGTCCTTGTGTTTCAGATGAAATTGTGGTTTCCCGTATTCATCAGAGTTTTCTACTCGACGATCCTACAGCCGAACCGGACAGTGTCGAAATTTGGCACGCAGCTTGGTCAAGCGAATTTCTACCGGTCGCAAATGAGTTAGCTGACCGGCTAATCCAGCAGTGCTAATAGCCACTCAAAACTCGAACTACGAGCGTGATGCCCAAACATCCAAACAGACATCACCTGTATTTTAGAGCATTCTTCATCCAGATCCAGTCGTACTCATAACATCAGACCTTGTGATAGTAGATGCATGCAATTTCCGAAACTTCAGACCACTTACTGCCTCTTTATCACCCAGATAACTATTTGTTATTCATCAGTTTGTTTGCAATTGGACTCGCCTGCAGCCTTCAGAATAATTGCAGTTTCATTCCTATGCCTCTCATCAGCCTTGAAAAGTGGAAGTTATCAAAACCTTCAGTCACCTAGGACCGCCATTTTCACTCACCCAAACTCCCGCGGATGCAAATGGTATGTGCACCCAGACGTGTCAATTGTATGCTACAATGAATCAGCCAAATCCGCAATATACCCCCGTCAACCTGAACTAATAGACAAATTTCGTCGGAATTAAAAAAAACATGGTCCAGACGAGTTGCATCAGTCAAGATTACTATAAGTGTTCGTTGATCTCCTGAGCGTGAAAAAGGATTCCACACCATCCACCCTAGAGAGGCACCTTTAAGAAGAAACCCTCATCGAACCCGAATTAATAGAACCACAAACCATTTTTTTACTCATTCTATAAATAACCAGACCTAAAAATAATCCTTTGATGGCCCAAACTAGTTCCAGCTTTCGAAAGCTTGAATACCGGTCCAGCTGAACGCTGCGGTCACCCTTTATAGTGAAAACCATATAGTAGGTGCGACCAATACAAACCAAACCTACGCTGTCAGACGTAGAAGTTGAGCGCTTTACCCACAAGTACAGGTGGTCGCTGGAGGTTAGCTAAATTCTGGGGACCACAGCCAACTGGCGAGGTCTAAACAATGCGCAAACTGTCGCTGGCTTCGAGCAATCGCCCCATGCGACAAAAGGCCCTGGGATTAAACCCAATCGTTTTCCCGACGCAACCATGGTTGGTGACCTGGCTCTACATTTTTTTCTCTATCCCAACAGCCGTATTGAGACGAGGACCTCACAGGAAACGTCTGGTGTGCGCCACTTATGGTGGGGTACCAGAACAGAAAGCTCGACGAGTACAGAAATTGAAGGACGAGACCCAAATAACAAGTTTTCAACTCCATAAGCAGTCCTGCCAAAGCTCAGTTCAATCGCTTAGTAATTGAGCGCATGCCTAATGTACGTTGCTTCAACTGCTACAATTTCGTCCGCCGAAGTGAGGGAATAGGAAAGGGATATGCATGCACTGGTGACATTTGCTCGACCAGTTAGGTGCCCTACCGATTTCGCCAAGTGCGAAAATGACGGAGTTAATGCCATAACACCAGGTTTCGGGACTGAACTATGTTCAGTAATCACTGACAGAATCACCGTTGAGAATTTTGGCGGAGCCTTGAGAAAACAAACTCTCCAGAACCGGAGGGGATCCATCAGCCTCCTAAATTGAGCTCACCGTCCAAAAAACGACACTATGGAATTGACCCCTCCATATTTTTGGGTCTAGCTTTGTCTGGGTTACGTGCATAGAATCCTCATAACAGCAACTGGTGATGGAAGTAACAGAATGGAGTAGATCGAAACTTATTAAACACCAATAGGTTGCTTTCCCTCTCATCTCCGGGCACATCCTCGTGGCTAATTTCTTACACCTTTGGTTGTGGCGCGTTCACAGTTGTCTGGATGGGGGTGGCGATTCCACCACTGACAAACAGTTGGGAAGAAGATAAATCCACCACCTCATTACAAAAGCCAGCGATACCGCTTTTTCATCTTGCGAGGAAAAAAAACAAGTTGATGAAACGCTTCGCCGAAGGTGAGCACTTAGTTAATAACTTCCCATAAAGAGTTCAAAGTGAAGTGCGACAGGATGCAAACTTTTACTATTGACGTTCACGGTAACTCAGCGCATATCCAGCTGACGCACAGCCTCGTTCATTCAGAAACCAAAACGTAAGAAAGCTATGTGAACCGAACTGCAACTGATAAACTCAAGTTGTGTTAACATTCACGAACGTGGGACCCAAACTCATCTTGTCAATGCCTACTCCAGGGAAATTCGATTTATTTATGATCTCACTAGCTCCTAGGGTTACAAAAACATCCAAAAGCACGTAAAATGACCACGAAACGCTTGTGGTGTACAGATTACAATAAGTGAGACAATGTAGTACGATTGCGTCACACCTCCATGCCGAAATTCTCCCTTTGGACGGAAGAATGCCAGCTGGAACTTTTGAAAACTAACGGAAAATAGGAACTGGAGTGATCCCGATCGAATGACCGGCGGAACCATCGCGATGACAGGACTCAGTGATAAGCTATTTCAAAAGACTATCCCAGCAGACATCTCGGAATGACAGGAATAGCAGTCGGTGCGCCCACGGTAGAAAACCAGTGGCTTCACTCAAGAAAAAAACCAAACCAAAAAACCTTTTATTCATTAAACACAGGCCTAAAATGCTGTGATAGGCCTCCTGGTTGTGAACCGTGGGTGATGCAGAGACTTGGTGATTCGGTGCGGTAGTGGGAATTTCAGCTTGTTGTCGTGGAACTGCGTGATGTACGCCCGCTTGCACTTGGACGCAGGGATGGCCTTGATGTCAATTATCTGAATTGACTCCGCACGGGCACTATGACGAGCTGCCATCTCCCGATACATCTGTGTGACAGCGCCTTCCTCCGTTAGGTCGCGGTACTCCTTGTACATATTGTGCGTACCAGAACGGCTGTTATAACGTAACCAAATCCCATAATTCTTCACCATCAAAGGCTTCCGTGGGTGTATCTGAGAATATAAGACAAATGTGAAAACCCCGATTTCGTTCATTATCCAGGCCAATATAAAAATTAACCTGAAATCACAAGTTCAAGTACAAAGTCGTTGTGATAAGAGAATACTAATGAGGTGTATGTGGCAACGTGGCGACTCAACACATACGACACCTGCATCTTTGTATGCACGGTATTTAGTCCAAAGCAACAGCTTGCATCAGACCGGTAAATGTGCAACCGAAAATGAACCTGTAATTGAGAATCACATCTACCTTTATAAAAGAGTGACGGTGAAAAGCGGTCCGGAGTATGAGAACCGGATGACCGAAACGGGCAACTATTGCACGAACCAGATTGCAGTTATCCGTGTTTGAAAAACGCATCAACCTATTTGCGTTCCAGCCAGAGCTCATTACGAGGCTTGCGTTAAGTAAGAGTACAAAAGTACCATTTGCGGTTGAAAACCTAACAACCAAAATTGTACACAAAAAGGCGTAACTAACCAAGCTCCCTATGTGGCAATGTGTTAATACGACACAACTGCATCCTTTTATGCACAGTATTTAGCCCAACGTAACAGCTTGCGCCGGGCCGGTAAATGTGCAGCCGTTATTGATACGAGGCGGCCACCCGTCGGCCAACTTGCAACCTAGACCAGCCAGGCCCATCCGTCAGTCGTTTAGTCGTCTTGGGCTAAGGTAAAAATGGGGTAGAAGGGTCATTCTTAATATAGCCCGAAACATTGGCATGGCAACTCGGCGACCGGATAGGCCGGATTGCTCTACTGGCCAGCTACCACGACAGAGTACGTGTTTTGCGACAACGAACCTTATAAGTCATCGCACCATCATTATCGTCCGATAATTAGGCCCAATCAATCAAGCCTATCGTGTCATTGTGATAAACCAAACCGAGCTGAAGGATGGACTGGAACACTACTCTGTGAACGTTCTTGTTCTGGTTAGAGCGCGAATTTACTGACCGGGAGGTCCGTGGTTCAACCCGACCTCTGCATCCCAACTTGTCCTGTTTAGCCTTGGGAAACCAGGCAGAACAGCCCCCATGCTTTCTTCAGGTGCCATGGCAGCCAGGCACCGAAAAGGGTGTTACAACTGGACGCTGCACCCAATCAACTGCATTAAACCGTCTTCGATGACGCGTAGAAAAACTGTCCGTGAGTGAGTAGAGTAATAGGTCAAATTCGCTCGCCACAAAGCGAAGCTCACTAGATAAAGGTGGTTGTAACACGTGCCATGCACACCGTCGCCCACCATAGGTGTGTTCTAAGATCAAAGGGGCCTTCTTTCTTCTTTGTTGTACGACTATTACCAGACGTAAAGGAAACTATTCACAAGGTTGCTGAAAACTCTCGACACCAGACAACTTCTGCAGAATACATGCGTGAGATATAAAGGAGTACAACAAAAATAAAACGAAACCAGTAAGCTTGAATTCGGCGTGCTTCAAACATGGTTATATAAGTTATCAAGCGATATCCCGGAGACCTGAGAAGGCAAGTCCCGGCTCGCCACCCCGTTATAGTGCGGAAATTCCAACTACTCACCCCGTATTTCCCAAACATCACCGCGGCATGAAATTAGTGATCAACACTGACACCTCGCTGTCGTACACAAGCTTGCAGCTCAAGCGGTGAGCGGAGGCCACTTATCCTGAGAAAAACTGAATTCAATGGCTTTATTTCCTCCTCTGGTTCGCACCTTCCCGACCTTTGGCGGGATACGTTTACTGGACACGCCAATAGGAATTCATCTGATTCGGCTAGAAAAACCGTTCTGGTTAGTGATAATATCCCAGAAGAGCGATTGAATGCTACGAATACCTCGCGGTATGCTGATACGCACACCAGCGACGAGGTGTTTCGAATCGTACAGATTCCATACACTCCTGCAATTTAGCATCGGACTTCGCAGTCCACATCCCACCCACATCCAAAGCCTGTCTGTCAGGTAATCAAGGTTTGCTATAAGCCTCACAATGGCATGTCTAAACCCAAGCGTGAGACGTCTTCGGGACTCCAATCATATTATATCCTTTGCGTGAAGCCCCGGAATGATCAGATCGTTGGGAAGCGTTCGACATGAAAATGACCCCTTCCCACTTATCAAGTGATGACGGCAATGGTCAGAGACGAGACCTCTGGAAGGAACACCCACGGGACTGACCAGAATCGCTTTATTGTTCGGAGCTGGTTCACCTAACCACAACTGGATTAAGGACACCAAAAAGCGCATCCATGACTAGCAACTCCACTAATCGGATGCTTCTGAGCTGCACAAATGGTATGTGAGAACGAATTAAATGTGGTCATTCTCATCCCTCCGTAGTACTAAATTTAAAGGTAGTGGACGCAGAAGTGCTGTCCGAGACCCCCCCCATTCCTGAGCAGCTACCACAGCCACTAACATCCGATAGCGATGCTGTCTCAATGGAGTGACACATTTAGGAAACGATACGTCATCTAGTAGTAAAAAGGCCTTATCGGAGAACAATGGCAGTAAGCGGTGAGAACCACAGCTAAAAAACGAATTTGGTTTCCGTATGCGTACTACTGGATCTCAGGAAGACCACCGCCATTCTTTTATGCAACAATGTATCCTATCTAGCTTGGGACACAATTCGGCTAGGTGGTCGGTAGGACGTCAGCTCCAACTGACGCTGTTAATGGAAACTGCTTCAATTAATCCACTAAACGAAAACCTTGCTATGGTTCGTTTGATATTGCTTGCACGTGATAACATACTAGAGGGTACGGAAGGTAACTGATCTTCGTAGCGAGCGTGCTATCACATCCTGGTGGGACCGCTTAGCCGGTTTGTCTGGTGAGGTCATGTTAGTGAGTTGTTGACTCAATCTCAGTGATGACGTCCTATTTTGATACGATGCCCAGGCGTGTTTATCTTGTGGTTCTGAGGCACCGTGGAAAGTCACCACCATCAAAGACACCAACAGCTTCACTACCAAACAACCATGAGGTTCGTCTAACTATACTTAAAGCGCTAGGATGAGAACAAGAGTGGGTGAGAGAGTGAATCTAGTGTTGGACTGTCAAGCATTCTGAGGTGCCTACACCTCCAAACGTTAAATCAGACAATATAGAAGGAAACTGACAGCAAGAACGCCACTGACATCGAGTAGCCGCCACTTCTTGCAACGTCTCCAGCCAAGCACAGGTGGGGCCACGGGAGCCCCATACTGGAATTCCTACAATACCAACGACACCCAGACGTTTCGTAATCTCTTTCAGGCCTTTCTGCCAAGTGATGCGCTGTCCACCTCGCTTTTTGCGCCATTCTGAAAGAGGCGCGGAGAACAATACTTGTTTCGGTAGACGGAGTTGCGGAACGCGTAGCACATCACCGAGCCACCGTAGTCGGTGGTGCTGGATGTTTTCCCGGATTGAAGTACTTGCAGCACAACCAAATACCCGTTTTCCAATCACCTCGTTGCTGACACGCTGACGCCATCCAGAATCAGCCACGCATGAGGCACCGGCTGTCGAAAACCAGAAGACGCCTCACATCACCCATCCGCAGAGACCATGTCTCGCACCGTGATACTCAGGCCTAGTCAGGAGCAGTCAACATGCAGATCAATTGCTGGTGGACGAACCTTTATCTACTTTTCTCACTGACGTGTAGGGTATTTTAAAAACCGTTTATTGCACCTGTCTGCGACTCTTCAGACTCTTCAGACGTGCTGACCTCAATTCACTTGTTATTATTGAGAGGGCAGCTTGATCTACCAGGTGATGCAACCAACATATGCGACAGATATACCCGATGTTGGGGACAGGGGAAAGTACTGGCCGACACTTTTGGCGTCGATAGTTGAAGAGGTACACCCCACTTTTACAGTTGACACATCTTGATGCGAAACCGTAGAAATTCGAGTTGGAGATTATACTATTCAGCGGCGAAAATCCAAGTAACGCGCATGGGATAAAGACACCATAGTTAAAACCAAGATTGGAAGTGATAGTTATATTCGCGAGGTGCTAGTTGGGACTGCACCTGGTAAGCTTAGGCGCGATATACCTCGCAACCGCCTGTTGGAGGGAGTTGAAGACTAGTTTTTCACCGACCATGGGTGCATGCTCCGGATAGCGGGACGCGTTTGTGAAGAGAGAAATTGTACCATTGGCATTTATCTCATTCCTTGCCATCGGTGAACGGAGTTGACAGATCAAGGAAAACCATGCCTGCTTCGGAGGGGGGTGTGATCCCTCTCTTCTATTGTGCAGAACCCTATTTTTCCTTTATCTTTTCCGTTTTACGCATATACCGTCTTCCTTGTTTTGAGCCGAGCGTGAACAGCTCTTTGAGATTATCGCACGTGTNATCGCACGTGTAGTTGAGCCAATCACGAGTTAATTTGAACCTACCTATTTGTGTAGGATCCCATATGGAATTAGCAGTCCCTAAATTGGTGTATAGGATCCGGCATAATCCCACGCGTTAATGTTTGTGCAGTTTTATTGTTGTATTCATAGTATCGCATTTGTTGATACACCGCCCATCCATTTGAAAGATTCGACTTTTGAAGTTTTATGCGCAGGTCAACGTGGTTCAGCTGACAGCTGGAAACGGCCAATGCTCGGTCTCACTTCAAATGAAACCATGTATGACTGTCGATCCGGTTATCAGTTTGATCCAACAGTGTTCGGAGGTTTGAAGAGCCCATTTTTAGTGATTTCCCGGGGAAAAATCATCGCTTCCGATTTAGTTCCACCTACATGCCAGATGCCCAGTCAGAAGGGTGTGACCAACTGACTTCAAGAGACTGTACTTTAAACTGGCTACACGGCTCTATAGTCTTTAAACAGAAGTAATTTTCTGAACGTATTAGGTTACGCCGGCTTCGCCACCGCCGCGGGATCAAACCCTATCTATTCCCCTCCCACTCGAACAAAATAGTGATGTGCCGAGGGTCACGCTTGAGCGGACGTTAACAGTTGTGCCAACGGAACGACCATTGCCCTAATATTTACCCGAA